CGGAGCACGTCCAGCTGATGCAGTTTACGTTCAGACGCAGGGAACAGCTAGTTCGAGCATAAACCCCTTAACTTAACCCTAAACCCTAAATCCTAAACCCTAAACCCTCACCAAGAAGGCACCTTCAACCTTTTTAGGGGCTAAAGCCCTCCTCAGAGGAAGCCTAAACCCTAAACCCTAAACCCTAAACCCTAAACCCTAAACCCTAAACCCTAAACCCTAAACCCTATACATCACACAAAACCATCCTACAGACCCCAAGCCCATCCAAAACCCCAATAAGCCCTGCGGAGACCCTACAGCCCCTCACCCCCTAACAGCCCCAAGACTCGAAGAATAAGCCCTAAACCCACCCCCAAGCAACCCGAAAACCCTAAAAGCAAGCCCTAAGACCCCCGACACCCTTAAGACGAACTCCCCCAAACTTTGCTCCGTGGCTCGCCATCCACTGCGCATGTCGGGCACCGCACCAGCGGGGTAGTGAGACTTGGCTGCTTGGAGGGTGTAGGCCTTGGGTTAAGGCTGAATCGAGGTTGGTAAGGTTTGCTATGGTTAGCATTCTTTAGCTGTTGAAGATGTACATATCTTTATACATATATATATATATATGTATAGCAGTATATGTAGGTGTTCGGATTTGTGGCTGGGTCTGACAATGGAAGGTCCTAACGGGTTTAGGGTTTAGGATCTTTGTCACTATGCAAATACCATGAATATCACTACAAGGATTGTTGTCGTTGATTTCTTGTCATCAATATGATTGCTTTTGTTTGGAGGAGTAGGGTGGGAGGCTTAGGGTTTATGGCTTAGGGTTCCAGATCTCAGTCTACTTGTGGGTCACCTTCACATGTCAGATTTATTGCCTTGAACCCTTGGAATACTTGTATGATTCTTGGGCTGGTTTCAATGTTCTTCATTTGTGTGCAATGCCTCCGTGTGCACCTTCGCCACGCACACAGATACCCAATGCACAAATCAATACATATATATATATGTATATTGATATATGTGTGTGTATGTTTCTGTACATGATGTTCAAGTTCGGGGCGTTGCCCATGTGGTTCAGGCACTCGGTCTGACCCACTCGATAAATCCTCTTCTTGATTCCCTTGTATTGCCACCATGTGCATCAGGTTATCATCTACAGGCAGAATGAAGGGCGATTAAACCGTTTTGCCGCGCGGGTATTCTTCTTCTTCTTCTTTGCTCAATAGTCTTCAAAACAGCTTCTTCACGTAAGCCTGTGTCGAAGTTTTGTCCTTCCCCTGTACTTGCTTCCAAACCCCGCCTTGTCTTTCTTGCAAAGTCATCCGAATATCCTCTGCAAGCCCTAAACCCTAAACCCTGTACCCTAAACCCTGAACCCTAAACCCTAAACTAAACCCCAAACCCTAACCCTAAACCCTAAACCCTAAACCCTAAACCTAAACCCTAAATCCTAAACCCTAAACCCTAAACCCTAAACCCTAAACCCTAAACCCTAAATCCTAAACCCTAAAACCTAAACCCTAAACCCTAAACCGATTCCGAACGAAAGTTCTGACAAGCTGCAGGGGTGGAGCGATGCCGCGAGCACGCAGCTCGTCATGCAGCCTGTCTGAAACTACGGTTTAGGGTTTAGGGTTCAGGGTTTACGATTGGCAGGGCCAGGACATTGCTAGTTTAGAAGGAGTTCGAGCAACCAGACAAAACCCCACCCGCCTAGAGGGTCCCATAACATTACGAAAATTTAAAATTTCTATTCTTGATCGTACGCAGCTTTTCTTAAACCCTCGCTTCGCACCCATTTGTTCCAAAAGCTCTCCAAAGCTCCCAAAAGAAATACAATAAGGAAAAGCCAAACAAAAAATGAGATTCCTGTTTTGGGACTCCGGGGAGGCTCCCAGAAGCTCAAGGAGGCCCCCAGAAGCTCCCCAGGCACCCAAACGAAACAAAAACAATAAAAAACCAAGAAAAATGAAGAAAATTGCAGAAATTGAGATTCCTGAACCCTTAACATTAGACCCCGGAAGAGTTTTTTAGACCCCGGAGGCTCCCAGAAGCTCAAGGAGGCCCCCAGAAGCTCCCCTAGGCACCCAAATAAACAAACAAGAGAAATGAAGAAAATTACAGAAATTGAGATTCCTGAACCCTTAACATTAGACCCAGAAGAGTTTTTTGGACCCCGGGAGGCTCCCAGAAGCTCAAGGAGGCCCCCAGAAGCTCCCCCAGGCACCCAAACGAAACAAGAACAATAAAAAGCCAAGAAAAATGAAGAAAATTGCAGAAATTGAGATTCCTGAACCCTTAACATTAGACCCCAGAAGAGTTTTTTGGACCCCGGGAGGCTCCCAGAAGCTCAAGGAGGCCCCCAGAAGCTCCCCCAGGCACCCAAACGAAACAAAAGCAACAAAAAACTAAGAAAAATGAATTACAGAAATTGAGATTCCTGAACCCTTAACATTAGACCCCAGACGAGTTTTTTGGACCCCGCGAGGCTCCCAGTAGCTCAAGGAGGCTCCCAGAAGCCCCCCAACCAAGAAAAATTAAGAAAATTTCAGAAATTCAGATTCCTGAACCCTGAACATTAGACCCCGGAAGAGTTTTTGGACCGCGGGGAGGCTCCCAGAAGCTCAAGGAGGCCCCCAGAAGCTCCCCCAGGCACCCAAACGAAACAAAAACAATAAAAAACCAAGAAAAATGAAGAAAATTACAGAAATTGAGATTCCTGAACCCTTAACATTAGACCCCAGAAGAGTTTTTTGGACCCCGGGAGGCTCCCAGAAGCTCAAGGAGGCCCCCAGAAGCTCCCCAGGCACCCAAACGAAACAAAAGCAATAAAAAACCAAGAAAAACGAAGAAAATTGCAGAAATTGAGATTCCTGAACCCTTAACAGTAGACCCCAGAAGAGTTTTTTGGACCCCGGGAGGCTCCCAGAAGCTCAAGGAGGCCCCCAGAAGCTCCCCAGGCACCCAAACGAAACAAAAACAATAAAAAACCAAGAAAAATGAAGAATATTACAGAAATTGAGATTCCTGAACCCTTAACATTAGACCCCAGAAGAATTTTTTGGAACCCGGGGGAGGCTCCCCACCCCACCCTCGCACCAAACCCATTTGACCCATTTGCCTAAATCGACGAAGGACTAATCGACGAAGGGCAAATGAGCAAGGATTGCCTTAATCGACGAAGGACTTGGCTTATTCGACGAAGGACTTTGGCTTATTCGACGAAGGACTTGCCTTATTCGACGAAGGACTTGGCTTATTCGACGAAGGACTTGGCTTATTCGACGAAGGACTTGGCTTATTCGACGAAGGACTTGGTTTATTCGACGAAGGGCCGGATCCTGGCCACTCTCCGACATTCGTCGAATAAGCCAAGTCCTTCGTCGAATAAGCCAAGTCCTTCGTCGAATACGCCAAGTCCTTCGTCAATTAAGGCAAATGAGCAAGGATTGCCTTAATCGACGAAGGACTTGGCTTATTCGACGAAGGACTTGGCTTTATTCGACGAAGGACTTGGCTTATTCGACGAAGGACTTTCTTTATTCGACGAAGAACTTGGCTTATTCGACGAATTCATTAGGGTTTATATATATATATATATGAAGAGTAGGGTTTAGGGTTTAGGGTTTCGGGTTTAGGGTTTAGGGTTTAGGGTTTTAGGGTTTTAGGGTTTAGGGTTTAGGGTTTAGGGTTTAGGGGTTTAGGGGTTTAGGGTTTAGGGTTTTAGGGTTTTAGGGTTTAGGGTTTAGGGATTTAGGGTTTCGGGTTTAGGGTTTTAGGGGTTTAGGGTTTAGGGTTAGGTTTAGGGTTAGGGTTTAGGGTTGCAGAAATCCCCCTTGTGCTTCCCTTTCAGCGTAGGGGTCTGTGCTATGGCAGGGTTACAAAAGGGACCAACATTTAGAGAATCAGCACATGGTCATGCGCAGGGCTTAGGGTTAAAGGTTTAGGGTTTAGGGTTAAAGGTTTGGTTATGAAGTAGGGTGTGAGTTTTGTTGTTTCGGTCATTGTAGGCATGCGAGCCAGCGTTTGTTGGGGCTGCTGCAGGTAGGTATCCAACGCCCAAAAAGCCATTCCGAGCCGGAACCCGGCACACTGAACCCTATTCCTTACTTAGCGCAGTTCCAGGGGAAAGAACCATGGCAACTGCCTTGATTCTGCGTTTGTTGATGCTACACTGTTGGTGGCAGATCAGGTTTAGGAGTTTGGTGCTGGGTCGCCAAAGCAGCGTCCTAAACCGCAGAAACCTAAAAGGCCTAGACCCTCAACCCTGAACCCTAGCCCTGTAAACCCTAAGCCCTAAGCCCTAAGCCCTAAACCCTAAACCCTAAACCTAAACGAGTCGCCTGAGTCCCGTCCCAGGCTGCCCACGGGGGCAGAAGCTGACGATCATGACACTCTGGGCTGCGCCCAGGAAGGAAGGAATTAAGGTTCATAAGCGCTTTGCGGTTTAGGGTTTTTTTTTTTTTTTGGAGGGGGGCGGGGGGGTGGGGGTGGGGGAGAATGATGTCTGGGGTTTAGGGGTTTAGGGTTTAGGGGTTTGGGGTTTAGGTTTGGGGATGTAGGGGTATGATTGGGAGCTCAAGTTGGGAGAAGTAGGATTGCGGGGTGCAGCGGAAGCTTTGATCGTTTTGGACTGTTGTTTCCAAGTTGCACTTGCGCAAGACAGGGACCACATGACACCGTATGTGTTTGTGGGCTTTGTGTTGAAAAGTTGCTTCTGTTCCGGGGTTCACAAAAAAAATTTGCAGATTTAGCAAAGCCATTCAGTGCCCTTAGGCCAACTCATCGTGTACGAGGCAGCAACCTCTCATGCTTGAGCAGAACCATGGGCTTCGCCTCCCTGGTTCTTACTTCTAGGGTTTAGGGTTTAGGGTGTAGGGTGTAGGGTTTAGGGCCTCGCTGGTTCTTACGTATAGGGAGCTGGGAAACGATGGGTCTTCAAGGGATCTATGAACGGGATAGAGGGCACCTTCTTCCTCTGAGCCAAGGGCTCAGGGCTCGCCCCTCAAACGATGCACAGGCGATGACTTCGAGGGGTGTCACAATCCTAAGCCCTAAACCTTAAACCCTAAGCCCTAAGCCCTAAACCCTAAATTCTGAACCCTAAACCCTAAACCCTAAACCCTAAACCCTAAACCCTAAACCCTAAACCCTAAACCCTAAACCCTAAACCCAGGTGTGCTTGATGTCGTTCTGGGTGCTCTGGAGGACGGGGAGTCTGCGGTGATTGCTCGTATGTTCAGCAATGTCCTTCCAGGGTTTAGGGTTTAGGGCTTAGGGTTTAGGGTTTAGGGCTTAGGTTTAGGGCAGCAGAAATCTTCCAATTGCTTGCCTCAGAGCCTCAACCCCTCTAAACCCTACAATTAAGCCGCGTAAGCCCTTTTTTCCCCAATATGCCCCACAACTCCGAATGAGTCCAAGTCCCAGCAATGGACTCTTGAAGAGTTTTTTTGTGGATGCTTTCTGCCTTGAAGGACTGGATGGCAACACGACAAGATCAGTTCGAAAGGCCGCGATTGCGCTTGCTGTGTAGCCAAACCCTAAACCCTAAACCCTAAACCCCAAAGCCTAAAGCCTAAACTCTAAACCCTAAACCCCAACATAGGAAGGCTTGGGGATGGTTTAGGGCTTGTACGGTTCAGGACACTAGCATGGGGGTTTCCGAAAATTGCGGTACCCTGTTTTGGGGGGACCCTGCAAGGGGATTCTAGTCCAGTTGGGGGGATAAAAGGGTTACCCTATTTGGGCAAAAACACCCATATTATGTTACCAATACTAATGAAACAAATACAAGCAGGGACCCTAAACCCGAGACCTATAAGCACCCCAAACCCTAAACCCAAGCAGCACCCTAAACCCTAAACCCAAAAGAAGCACCCTCAACCCGCATCCCAAGAAGCATTTCCGCAACGTCGGCCGCCAGCCCTTCAAGCCCCCGTGGTTCTTAGCAACCCTAAACCCTAAACCCTAAACCCTAAACCCTAAACCCTAAACCCTAAACCCTAAACCCTAAACCCTAAACCCTAAACCCTAAACCCTAACCCTAAACCCTACTAAGAACCAGCCTCTTCCAGAGGTGACAAGGTCCGATTGAAGCCCCTGCTAACCTACGTCAACCTGGGCGAAGCGGACCCTTTGACAGCAGGCTTTGGAAACCCCAAGCTCTAAACCCTAAACCCTAAACCCTAAACCCTAAACCCTAAACCCCCCCAAGCTCTAAACTGTTGCTTGGGATGTTCTCCCCTTACACTAACAGTCCTTTCTAGGGATCCTCGTACCATCCCTAGAAAGGACTGTTCGTATAAGGGGGAACATCCCAGTTTTTTTTGCCCTTGTTTTGATACCCTTCTAGGGTGTATGGGGCTTAGTTCGGTCTTCCAGCCCCAGCCGAGCTAGTCTCATGTTCTGAACTCTCGTCGCTCCCACCCTAAACCCTAAACCCTCAACCCTCAACCCTAAACCCTAAACCCACCTATTTTGGCAGCAAAGAGACTCGACTTCAGCGGGAACCCAAGTCGACCCATCACTTAGATCGATCCCCGCCCGACGTGGAGCCCGAGAAGGGAACCGTCTAGGCTTTAGGGTTTAGGGTTTAGGGTTTAGGGTTTAGGGTTTAGGGTTTAGGGTTTAGGGTTTAGGGTTTAGGGTTTAGGGTTTAGGGTTTAGGGTTTAAAGCCATATCAACCCACAAAACCTCATATTACAGCCCGCATAAGCCCACTACAAACCGTAACTACCCTAAAGCCCCAAACCCATGTAAGCCCATATAACCTCATAGAAGCTCGTACAAACCCCCCCTTTCGGGCCCTAAACCCGCGCCATCGCCCCTCCCGAAGCTGACCTGAGTGGGTTCGGGCGCTAGGGGTAGGTCGAGCCGGCTGTGGCACCTTCACTAGTCTCACACAGAGACAGACAGAAACCCCAAACCCTAAACCCTAAACCCTAAACCCTAAACCCTAAACCCTAAACCCTAAACCCTAAACCCTAAACCCTAAACCCTAAACCCTATTGGGACTCAGGACCCGGAGGACGACGGCGAGGAGCAGGAGGCCGAGAAGGAAGCGTCGCAGCGGAGCCTCAAGATCCACGATGAGGCTTTAGGGTTAGGGTTTAGGGTTTAGGGTTTAGGGTTTAGGGTTTAGGGTTTAGGGTTTAGGGTTTAGGGTTTAGGGTTTAGGGTTTAGGGTTATGGTTTAGGGTTTTGGGTTTAGGGTTTAGGGTTTTTAGGGTTTAGGGTTTAGGGTTTAGGGTTTAGGGTTTAGGGTTTAGGGTTAGGGTTTAGGGTTTTAGGGTTAGGGGGTTTAGGGTTTAGGTTTAGTTTAGGGGTTTTTAGGGTTTAGGGGTCAGGGTTTAGGGTTTTAGGGGGGTTTAGGGTTTAGGGTTAGGGTTTAGGGTTTAGGGTTTAGGGTTTAGGGTTTAGGGTTTAGGGTTTTAGGGTTTAGGGTTTAGGGTTTAGGGTTTAGGGTTTAGGGTTTAGGGTTTAGGGTTTAGGGTTTAGGGGCTCCCTTTGCCAGAAGTCAAATTTGGAGTTGGGGGGGGGGGGTTTAGGAGCTTTCGGCGCTTTAGGGGGGTTTAGGAAGTTTTGTTGGGCGGTTTAGGGGGTTTAGGGAGGTGCACGTCCTGTCCTTGGGCTTTCGCAGCCACGCTAGCTTTGCTGGCCTGGATGGGGTATCCCTATGTACCACTGGCTACACGCCCCAGTGGCTGGGTGACTCTGAACCCTTGTAATCTGGTAGACCCTCAAAATGGAATCTTGGAAGCCCTCAGAAATCACCAACACTCCCTTTTCTTTTCTGGGGGCCACGGCTGGCTGTTTTTGTCTTCGTATCCACGTGACCGGGTAGCAGGGGCTTCCTAAACCCTAAACCCTAAACCCTAAACCCTAAACCCTAAACCAGGCAGTTGCAGAGCAGGCGGCACCGCACGGTCCGGACAAGGAAGCCGAAGCCACCGATATCCCTGATCAGGCGCGGGTTTGTGGCTTTACCCCAAGGCTCCATGCAGTACGTATTTGGGCCCTAGAAAGGCTACTGTATAGGAACCCCTTTAAGGCCCAAGTATATACTATATTGGTACACAGGCCCTTTTGGGGTTCGGGATTAGCTACGAGTACGGCTCCGCAGCCCAGAAATCTCAGAAGCTCCCAAGAGCTTGCGCGCAGAATTGAAGGCCTCACCCTAGACCTTGGAAACTTGAAAAACGTAAGCCCTATAGACCCCATAAACCCTATAAGCCTTCTAAATCCGATAGGTCCTACATGTTAAACCCCCAAGCAAACCTGTGAGCCCTGTAGATGCTGCACCCTAAGCCCTAAACCCGAAACCCCAGACCCGAAATTAAGTCTTAATGGCACGGGGCATTGCTGCAAGCCTCAGGGCACCATTTGATCGATGCTGCTTAGGGTTTAGGGTTTAGGGTTTAATTGGGGTTTAGGGTTTAGGGTTTAGGATTGTTTAGGGTTTGGGGTTTAGAAAGGGTGTGGGGTGGCAGGGGGCCGCTCTGAAGATTTAGGGTCGGCCCCCGCCAGCTCAAAGCAGGACACGGAGGCCCCTGCAGAACCCAAAGCGAAGCAGGCCAGCGACTCGGAGCGCCTCAGCTACAAGGGTTTTGGGTTTAGGGTTTAGGGTTTAGGGTTTGGGGTTTGGGGTTTGGGGTTTAGGGTTTAGGGTTTAGGGTGTAGGGTTTAGGGGCCTGAATAGTTGCTCGACTTTGTATACAGGGGAGCGGCTTCAGAACTGCCTCCTAAGTTGTCCGGCGAAGAGAGGCTCTAGAGAGGCTCTAGGGGTTGAATCTCCAGGATTCTGAGTAGGTTTAGGGTTTAGGGTTTAGGGTTTAGGGTTTAGGGTTTAGGGTTTAGGGTTTAGGGTTTAGGGTTTAGGGTTTAGGGTTTAGGGTTTAGGGTTTAGGGTTTAGGGTTTAGGGTTTACGGGAGCTGCTGCGGCCCCATACCATATTCATCGTGGGATCGTAGGGGGGCAGAAGGGTCTAATTCCCGCGTTCCCTTCTAAGATCCGAAAGAGGATTTTAGGGTTTCGGGTTTAGGGTTTAGGGTTGAGGAATCCCAAATCCCCTGAACCCCAATATCTCCCAACCCAGGTGCCACCTATTCACGCTCTGGGAGTATCCCAAAGGCGCACCGACCTACGCTCCCTGGACATGCATGAGTTTAGGGGTTTCATGCTTCAGGTGCTAGAACCCTAAACCCTAAACCCTAAACCCTAAGCCCCAGGTCTGCCCAGCTTTAGTGCTTGCAGGACTTTTGGGGCTCAGGTGTCGGTCGCCAGTGGGCTGAGAACCCAAAGTCATAAGGTTAGAGGGGGGGTCCCCCAGATTTCCACCCCCAGGTTGAGGCTCCTGGGCCCCCGAACAGATACAGAGCTACTAAGGCTTATTAGCCTCTAATAAACTAAAATAAGCCTCTATTAAAGGTTATTAGCGGCTAATAAGCTTTAATAAGCTGTGTATTGCTTTCCGGTGTTTTGGGGAGGCTTCGGCGGCTTTTCTGAACAGACGCACAAGCTGTATCCGCGCGACTATACGTTCAAGGACATGCTGCATCTGTTCTGAAAAGGCAAATACAGGAAGAAAAGATGAAAAAAACATCAGTAGCCGAGCAAGGAGCAGGGTCAACAAGTCAGGGTTCACGTGTGCTGTTCCAGCCAATGGCCGGCTAGTGTGCAACATGGATGTATGCCTCTTGCCTTAATGGAATTGTGCTCCGCAAACGTTAAGCACGCAGCACTGACATTTGCCTCGTCCATTTATGCCCAGGTCAAGTCCGTCTACTACTCCAAGATCGCACGCTGGTCTTGCCTGTGTTCCGCCTCCCAAATCATGAGCAGTACCAATGGGCCATGGCCGATGTTCTAGAGGCCCTGTACCCCTCTAGCGAGAAGCACAAACGAAAGAGAAAATTTCACAACGTGTTTGAGGACGTACAGAGTATGCACCGCAAACTTTGGCCTTCGGTTACGTGTCCGAAAATTATTCCTGTAGATGAGTTGCAGGAGGCCAGCTTCGGACACGTCATGCCAACTTCCATGGTAGTTGCGACACTTGCTTGGGGGTGGACGGCTTCGAAACGCAGTCCAGACTCGAAGCAGTTGTGTGGAATGATGCTGAAGGCCCTGATCCAGAATGTTACGAAACATGAGGAGGGAGTTGAGGTTAGTTTTCCTGTCGTGGAAGCAGATGGGACGGCACAGATCAGGCAACAGGTGGTGTTGAGCGATGGTGTTGTTGATTGCTGGACAGATTCCATGTCCGAGGCAGTCGGCACGAGCTGGGATTCGAGTGTCCTTGACGCCAGCACACATTTCCCAAAGAGTCCCCGCAATCAAACACAGCTGTATGATTTCATAATGTGGTCTTTGGAGCCCACACCGGTCAACAGTCGAGAGCCAAAGCTGAAGAAATGTCGCGCGTTGCTTGCGGCTTCTGCTTTGACGTTGCTGACCAATGTGGCCTCAGCAATTGAGAGCCGCTACATCCCGTTTCTTTTTGCCGAGATGGCCAAACCAGGTGGACACAATGAGTTTTCTATCCAGAGCAGCACAAATTCCAAGCGCCGACGACTGAACACGCTCACGGCCAATGTCGTGTCAGCTGGAGCAATGGAGCTTCTGTTTCGGGGGGAGGACAGCAACTGCAACTGTAGTCGCACGGTACGTACATATCTTCTCCTTCCCCCCCCCCCTCCCAACGCAACCTGCCTGCTTTCAGGAGCGGTGGGCGCAGAAAGCGTTGGACGCTTTCAGCAAGACAGCGAGAGTGCGTGTGGGGCAGTTGGCGCACAAAGTCTGCGTATCCTGCTTGCAAGATGAGAGAGTCCTGCCTGCTGCGACGTAGGTCCCAGACATTCCCACTGTAACTGAGGCGGCCCATGTCTTGTGTGCCCGGGCTGAGCTCGCAGAGTGCAAGCACTTCACCGTCATGCCCCCATCTTTGTTGTGTGTGTGTGTGTTGCGCAGAGCTCACGAGCTTACAGCAAAAGAGCTTCAGGTCTTCATAGATGGCAGTGAGATTGGCGAGGTTCCGACAGAGATTGTTTATCTTTGGAGTCAGCAAATCGGTGCTGGCGCCTATGGTCCTCCCGTCGCCGAGCTCTCAGTCGTAGGCTATGGCCTGGACCTAGTGCGCTGTTCTGCGGATCTGCGGCATGCGGCAACTGGCGGCAACCTGTCTTGAACACTGGGTCAAGCAGTGACATGTCTTAGTGGTAGTGCGCCCCACGCTCATGGCTGGATGGTTGCAGTTCTCGAGCCCGAGACAGGGCAAAGACAGTTGGACGGAGGTGTCTAGGTATACTGAGTCCGTCACAAGCAGCGTCAGCGACGCTGAGCTGCGAACCGCGGCGTCCGAGAGCGGAAGCTCTGTTAGTGGAGCTCCCTTTGAGGCTCGGGCGCTGCTTGCTTCCCTGTGCTTGTGTCACCTTGCCCTCAACGCACGCCTGTTTTGTGGATCAGGTTCCGGACAATGAGTCGCCGTTGGCAACAGCAGCTCGTGCTCTTCCCATGGCATGGCACTTGTTGAGGAAGAAAGTCTTGCCGGAATGGGTGATCCAGGCTCGCAGAATGGCTTGGCGGGATTGTTGTTTTGCATCAAGACTGAACCTTCCCTGCTTGCAGGCCAGCTTCTTGCAGAAGGGCTGCTGGAACATGTCATCCAGTTGCACCGGGGCGTACACAGCTGAAATGGCCGCAGGAACAGTGGCCAAAGTCGTCAATGATTCTGGTCTTTGCTCCAAGCAATGTTCTATGAGGTCCGTGATGTGTCATGACTCTTGCCAGCAGGGATAGCTTTCTGTGGCGTGCACAGGGGACATGATCCGTGTCTACAGTGTGTGTCTTGTCTAAGGAACGGGACGCTGCGTGTCGGCAGCTTGTCATTGACCACCACAAATGGATGGAACAATCCGGAATTCCTACTTCTCGCCGTCTCCCCTGTATCTTTGGCGACATCTTGGATCAGCTGCCTGCCTCTGTGGACAGAGAGGCAGGTGACTTTGCAGCAAAGAGACGCCGCGTCAGGGCGGCGGGACTGCTAGAGACCCAACACTGCTGGGTCCACAATGATGCATGTCGGTTGGATGTGCCTGTTCAGATAGATGTGTCGGGGCTTCCATGTCCTGACAACTCACGTGCGAATTTGAAGAGGAAGTTCCAGGAAGGGGGCTCCGGCATCGTCTATGCCACCTGGGCGCAGCGTCACATACAGAAACGCACCCCTCTTCTCCTCATTGAGAACGTGCCGGTGCCTTGGGCAAATACGTATGACACGTCTCTCTCTCTCTCTCTCTCTCTCTCTCTCTCCCTCTCTCTCCCTCTCTCTCTCCCTCTCCCTCTCCCTCTCGCTCTGCCTCTGCCTCTGCCTCTGCCTCTGCCCCTGCCTCTCCCCTCTCCCTCTCCCTCTCCTCCCTTATGCTACAGTTCCGGCTTAGGACATCAACGTGGCAGCCCTGCGAGATTTGCTCGAGGAGGACTACATTCTCACACAGTTGCGCATATGCCCCTCCGATGCCGGCCACACGGGCGTCGCACGACCCAGGACGTACGTGTTCTGTTCGCACAGGAAGACGTGCCGGTACTTGTTTTGCCTGCACAAGGCATACAGCATCATCCAGGCGACACTGGAGAAGCACATTTGTACGTCTCCTGCAGACTACTTGGTCGCGTCACCCGCGCAGCTGCGTGTGGCATGTGAGAAGGCTGCCCGACAAAGGAGAGTGGATGTCTGTTTCGAGACTTGGTCTGCAGTCATTCAGGGAATCCATGTGTCATGCGCTGCTGCTTGTGGCATGCGAAGACACGAGTCATCCGAGGACCAAACAGATTGGTCGTCCATGCTCAGCCAGGCTGAGCGCGACCAGGTAGCCTCCTACACGGCCAAGTATGAGGCCAGGTTCCGACGCCGTGCCGCTGATGACCCGGACCTTGTCTTCTTTTTGGGAGACACCGCGCGGTGGTGCACATGGAGTGCTTGCAGCCGGAAGATCCCGACGTTTCGGCGTGGAAGCGGGAAATTCTGGTATCCTGCAAGTAGACGGTGGCTAGTTGCCTCCGAAAAGCTAGCTGCGCTAGGGTTTCCGGGCACGGCGGCCAGTGCTGCAGTTCTAGGACTGCATGTCCTTCCTGTCACAGACCCACTTCGTGCAGACTCGGTGTACGGAAACAGCATGCACTTCAGCAACTGCCAGCTCATGATGTTGCTGGCCGTCACGTGCTTCGGGCCTGTCGCTCGTGAGCCCACTGTGGACTGGAACAGACTAGCGTGATCCCGCAGACGGACAAATCGCGCCTGTGCAGGCCGAAAAAAAAACGCAGGACATGCGGCGCAACAGGTTCCGCGCTTGTGGGGTCATGTAGCCATGTCTTGCATAACCGTAGACTTGGTTGTTCAAGCAAGCAGTTTCGAGCCAGAAGCCTGACTCACAATGCCTCCGCCCGGTCGTCTTCCTGCGCGACCCCCGCCCAAGAAAGCAGCTCCTGTCAAAGCTGCCGCAAAGCCCCCGCCAGCGAAGAGTGTGGCAAAGCTGCCTGCCCCCAGGCCCGCTTTCCCAAAGCCAAACATCCCAGGCCTGGCCGTCCCAACGCCAAAAGCTGTGTTAGCAAAGGGCCGCCCAGTCTTCGACCCCCGCAACGTGCCTGCCGCTCCCGCCCCTGCCACGACTTTGGCACCACCGCCGCCTGTGCCGGCGAAGCCTCCCGCAATTACGTCGGGCACTCAGAGTTCTTTCGGAAAGCAGGAGTCATGTTTCTTGTGTCCCCTCACTGCTGCCTTAGGTGGGCAGATGGCTTTGTCGTGGGAGACATCCCACTGGGCCGTGCTCCTTGCGGTGCCAAGTTGAAAGCTCCGGCCAAAGCTCCGGCCAAAGCTGTGCCGGCAAAGTCAGCTGGTGGCTCCAGACGCCGGACCGTAGAACGGTATGCGGCAGGCTACCACAACATATCTTACCTCAGCGACGCTTGTCTCTGTTGACTGGGCCGGCACATGTTGGCTGTTGTGAGTGTAGGTCTGGTAGGCTGACAGCAAGCATCAGCTAAGGACTCGCACTTAATCGACTGGCTGTCGAACATAGATGGTGACATGATGACTGAAGTCATGTTGCAAGCCTGTGACCGAGAGCAGCTGCTCTGTTTGCTTTAC